GACAACAAATCTGAACCCTGTCCTATCGTGTCCCAAGATCACAATTTCTGACGCTCTTAACTCTATTGCTATAGTCACTGTATCAACTATTTGGTTGAGAGTCTTTCTCTCCCTCACCATCCCTCCACCTTTCCATGGCATCCTTCTTCAAGGAACAGCATGCTGAACATATGCAAGATGAAGTTTCGCTCATTCTTACTTCTGTCTTCAACTTCTCCAAGACATTTTATCCTCCAAGACATGTGATTTTGGCATCCCATAAGTACATTCCTCAATTCTTATTCAATCTATTCATTTAATAAATAAATGTACATATTCAAAATGTGAAAAAAATCTCCTATATTAGAATATTACTAAGAATGAAAACAATAAAAATGAAATCTAGAAAATACATTAGAAAAAAAGTATAGACCAGCTAACAGATGAAGGTACTAATCATAGTGTCTTCCTAACACTGAAATTTTGTCAATGCCCAGAAAATTATAAATTTGGGGTTGAAGGAGAAGGGAGGGTCACATAGCAAGTTAATATTTTTGCTCAAGATCAAATTGTAATTCAGGTTTCTTTTCACTATATAGGGAATTTCTATAGCTGAGCTCCTTGGATATTGCCAGTTATCCTTTTAAGCAATTTTTTTAACTTTCTGTTTTTCAGAAATAAGAATGTTTTGGTAAGTTTTATGTACAGCCCTTGAACCAATGATGATAGCAGTCAATTAGCAGAGAATCAATAAATATGTATCAGTATAAATTGATAAAATGTATGTTTGGTAAATCGTGGAAGCCTTAGTAATGAGAAGGATCCCAAACTCAGGGAAACAAAGTGGTCACCATACTGACCTTCTATGAACCACATCCTGCTGGATTATCTTGCTTTTTTCATTCTGCCATTGTTCCCTGCTTTGCTCACTTATGTCCTCTATAAGGACTACCCAGTGAAGACGTTCTATATTGCAACAGTCTGACAAGGTAAATCCACAAAAAACAAAAAACAAAAAACAAAAAACAACAACAACAACAACAAAAAAAGATAAGTGGTTAGAGAATATCTCAGATCTATCATCGTTTTATTTTGGGAGCTCTACTTTTCTACTGAACTCTGCTGCCTGTTCCCTCACAAAGTCTGAATCTCTTCTGTTTCCTTATGCTTGAAGCACTAGAGTGAGATATCCTCTATAATCTAATCTTTATAGCCTGCAATGTGTATATTTGAACTTGCATTTGATCTCTGCATTATCTTGTCTGTGTCTTGGAGTCCCCTGAAGAAACTATACCAGGTAGATTCTGTGAAAATCTACCCCTCATGTAACTCACAGGACAGGTCTAACTGTCAGCAATTTAGGCTAGTAAACAAATCAAATGAGTGATAAAATTTGACTTGAAATCCTCTCTGGTATATAAAATACTAATGGACTTCTAAGAAAATAGATAGGAGTTCTAGGTATCATTTAGGAATCTAGGGTTTGAAAACTGGACAAGTAATAGGTCTTAAATTGCTCCTCCTTACAAAATAATAGTTATAATACTTATTATAAGTAGAAATAATGCAGGTAGAAATAAATGGGATAAAATGTGTGAAGCACCTAACATATAACAAAAACATTATTTTTCTTTCTATATAATTCACCTTGATGAACCTTAGTGTTGGGAGAGAATACTGATAGGCAAATATTTCAATGCCAAGGAAGATTGTGTTCATCAAAGAAAAGGAAACATTAATACATTGGAAAGCAGGAATGGCATCCACTTCCTAAACAACATGCCTCTGGAAACTCTATGAATTTTGATAAATGTCGATAGTTACAGAAAGGCTTCAGGCCTTTTGTTCATAGGGTTGCTAGAAGTCATGCTTGACTCGAAGGCAATCAACAACAACAGCAAGAAGAAGAATCCAGAAAAGAATTTGATTCTTTGTGGTATTGGGAGTCAGTGACACTTCTATAAAGGGGTAAACACTTATTGATAGTTGGAATTGTAATTGAAAAAGGAAGGTCAAGGGAGTGGAAGGAAGAAGTGGCATAAGTGAAAATTTTTGAAATTCAGTGAATCAGTCCTATTCTACTGAACTGCTTTGCATGAGATATTTGATTCTACAGTTTCATTAGAACCAAATATAAGAACTTAAAGTGAAATTTAGTGTTTTTTCCTGTAATGATTTTGGTTAATCAAAAACAAGAAAAAGAGTTGAATACTATAAGTCATGCTGAACAATAATGCAAGTTAAAAGATATTTTCAGATAATCAAGGTGAGAAGGAATGAATACTTTTATCACTTTAATTAGCCTTGAAAAAAATTATACTTGTTTTTCTCTGTGTGTCAGGGATGTTTCCTGCCTCCATACCTTTTCAATCTATATGCAGAACAGATCATTTGGGAGGCTGAGCTTTATGAGAAGGAATGAGACATCAGGATTGGAGGAAGACTCATCAACAACCTGCGTTATGCCATGCTTCATGAATTTGCATGTCATCCTTGTGCAAGGGCCATGCTAATCTTCTGTGTATCATTCCAATGTTAGTACATGTGCTACTTAAGCAAGCACAACAACCTACATTATGCAGATGACACAACCTTGCTTGTTGAAGCTGAGGAAGATCTGAAGAACTTGCTGCAGCAGGTTAAGGATTGTAGTCTACAATATGGGTTTAAACTCAACATCAAAAAGACAAAGATTCTCACCACTGGGCCAAATGGTAAAAACAAATTCTCTGATTTCAGATAATATACTAAAACCTCTTGGCACTTCTCCTGCAAGACAATGATAACTATTAAAGAATGGGTTTTGTCTTTTAAAATTTCAGAATAATCTTGGATAATTAAGTTAATTTAACCAGAATTCAGTGACTAGTAATGAAGTGTACAGCCAACATGTTACAGTGTTATGAAACAAGTCCTGCTTGATTTTCTTGTATTTTCTTCATAGCTCCATATTTTTCTGCTTGTCCCTCTTGGGAAAAGACTTTGTTTGAATATCTATAAGTACCAACAATTCGTGGAAGAAGAAGGAAATGTGTAGACATGAAGAGGACAGAAAGTTGAGGGAGGAATATTTGCTGATATCTGGATGCTTACTCTTTAGTGAAATACATATATGCTACTATGAAATAAAACAGAGGAGGATTTATACTCATGTTGTAATGTGCAATAACACATAATAACTCATAGTGACCCTATGAATAACTGATCTGAACCCTGTCCTATCTTGTAGCATCCTCATCATACCTGACATTCTCAAGCTCGTTTATGACATTGCTGTCTGTTGTTGTTGTTGTTGTTATGTGTCAGTGAGTAGCCTGAAACTTATAGAAACCCTATGGACAACAGATCTAAAGTTTGCTCTGTCCTGACTCAGTCTGACTGACTCCAACACACCAAATCCAATTGCCCCATCTCATTTGGGGTATTCCTTTCCTACACTGTCCCTCCACCCTTCTAAGCATGATGTCGTTTTCCAAGGACCAGTCCTTCCTGGCCATGTGCTCGAAATATGGGAGGCAGAACTTCAAAATCCTAGCCTCCGAGGAGAAACTTGGTTTCACCCTCTCTAGGACAGATCTATGTGTTTTCTTGGTGGTCTATGATAAGCTCCAGACTCATCTCCTGCACTACAACCCATAGGCATCAATTATTCTGTCATCCTTAGTCATTTTCCAGCTCTCTGATGCATAACAAGTCATTTTGAAGACAATGGCCTGGATTAGGCTCACCTTAGCTTCTAGACTGACATTGTTGCTTCTTAGTGTACTCTGGAGAGGTCCCTGAGAGCACGTTTTCCTGGTGCAATTTGTCTTTTGGTTTCCTGACTGCTAGTGCCAACAGTATTTGATTGTGGAGCCAACGCGAGCTGTAATTGTTAACAGCCTCAATCTCTTCTCCATCTATCATGGTGCTGCCAATTACCCAGTGGTGAGAATCTTTGTCTTCTTGATATTGAGTTTCAATCCATATTGAAGACTACAATCCTTGACATTTGCAGAAAGTGCTTCAGGTCCTCCTCAGTTTCAGCAAGTAAGGTTGTGTCATCTGTTTAGTGTAGGTTGTTGTGTTTGCCTAGAGAGCACATATACTAATGATACACAGAAGATTAGCATGGCACCTGCACAAGGATGACATGCAAATTCATGAAGCATAATGCAGGTTGTTGATGAGTCTTTCTTCCATCCTGATGTCACATTCCTCCTCATAAAGCTCAGCCTCCCAAATGACCTGTTCTGCATATAGATTGAAAAGGTATGGAGACAGGAAACATCCCTGACAGACTCCTTTCTTGATTTTGAACCACGCGGTATTTCCTTGCTCTGTTCTTAGGACTGCTTCCTGGTCTGAGTATAGGCTTTGCATGAGCATGATCAAGTGTCTGGGATTCCCAGTCTCCTCAAGATTAGTCACAGTTTGTTATCTTTCTCACCTTTGGATAGTCAATAAAACACAGACATTTTTTTCTGGTACTTTTTGCTTTCTGCTAAGATCACTGTCTAGCCAGTCTTAGTTTAGATATCAGGATTGGAGAGAATAGCAAAATGAAAAGATATTGGAAATGAGATGCTGATACAGTGTTTATATTCTATTACTGTCATTTTCTCTGAGGATAATATTGGAGAATGATTAAAAAAAAAGAAGTGTATTAAGGATAAATGTAGAGGAACAAAAAATAGGACTCAGAAATTAAAGGAGTGAAACTCCAGAAAGTACTTTTGAGCAAATTTAATTTGTGTCTTGTGGTTTCTTGGCATCAGTTGGGGATATTTGCAAAAAAGTCATTTACTGATCCAAAGGCAAATATTTCAAATGTTTCTGGAATAGAACTACAGCTTGAAAAATATTTCCATCTAATCATTTTAGGATTCCAAAGTCAGCATAAGTAACAAATAGATGATTGATAGATAGATAGATAGATAGATTTATAGATAGATAGATAATAGATTATAGATAAAATAAATAAAATAATTTTAAGTGAGTAAGCAGGATCCCAATTCCCATGATTTCTTTCTTCATTCCTTCCTTCACAGATAACACGATTGATGGCCAGGGAGAATCATACCATGGTGACAGAGTTCTTCTTCTCTATTTTTCCGCATTTGAATGAAGGTGGCCTGTTGTTTTTTATTCCCTTGCTTTTCATCTATGGATTCATCCTTACTGGTAACCTAATGATATTTATTGCCATTCAACTGGACATAACTCTTCACACGCCAATGTATTTCTTCATCAGTGTCCTCTCCTTCCTAGAGGTCTGGTATACTACAACCACGATCCCCAAGATGCTCTCCAACCTAGTCAGTGAGCAGAAAACCATCTCTCTGGTTGGTTGCCTCCTGCAGATGTATTTCTTCCACTCCCTTGGCATCACAGAAGGCTGTATCCTGACATCAATGGCCATTGACAGGTACATAGCTATCTGCAATCCTCTTCGCTACCCAACCATCATGACTCCCAGGTTATGTATTCTGCTGACAGTTGGCTCTTGCCTCTGTGGTTTCCTCCTTGTGCTCCCTGAGATTGCATGGATTGCTACCTTGCCTTTCTGTGGCTCCAACCAGATCCAGCAGATCTTCTGTGACTTCACTCCAGTGCTTAGATTGGCCTGCACGGACACATCTCTGGTGGTCATTGTGGATGCTGTTCATGCGGTGGAGATCCTGGCCTCATTCCTGGTCATTGCTCTATCTTACATTCGAATCATCGTGGTCATCCTGGGGATGCCCTCAGCAGAGGGTCGTCACAAAGCCTTTTCTACTTGTGCCGCTCATCTTGCTGTGTTTCTGCTATTTTTTGGCAGTGTGGCTGTCATGTATCTGCGATTCTCGGCCACCTACTCAGTGTTCTGGGATACCACAATTGCTGTTACTTTTGTTATCCTCGCTCCTTTCCTCAACCCCCTCATCTATAGTCTGAGAAACAAGGACATGAAAGATGCTATTAGGAAGCTTTTTTATTCTCAAAAGAGAGCCAGAGAGGCTAGAAGATAGATATACATCGGAGACTCTTTTAAAAGCCTTCTGGAAGTTCAGATTGTTGCTGTTCGTTCTCTTGTATAAACAAGAGATTGTGCTTCCTCCCCCCACAACCCCATTGTCATAGTGTCTTTTTTTCAGTTACTGCTAAGAAAAATGAAAACAAAACAAAAATAGCAAATATCTCTGTCCAGGTTACTGGTGGCAACTGTAGAGTTTATGTCAATGACTTCACCACTTTCATAGCAAAATGGATTCTCCTACTTTATACCACAGATTAGAGAGCTCTGGTGACCCAGAGTGGGTAAGGGGTTTTGCTGCCCACCCCAATGCTGTCAGTCCAAATCCACCAGCTGCTCCAAGGGAGAAAAGATGGACAATCTCCCCTCATGAAATTTACAGTTTCTGAAAACCTGCAGGAGTGTAAGCTATGAAGCGGTTCTGACTCAATAGTAGTGAGTTAAGTTGTTGTTGAGTATAGCACAGATTGCCTTTCTCTTCATGCTCCATCAGCTGGACTTCTGTCTTTTGTTATCCTTCATGCTGATCAATGGAGAGAGTAAGGTAGAAAATAAATTTAGGAAGGATATGACAGTTCTTCAATATTATGTAAATTTTATTAAGTATTGTTAATTCCCCCCATTCATTTCCAGCAGCAAATCCCTTTATTATTTAATATCTTAGGCTAATAAAGTATATGGTGGCATAGTTTATAGTATGTTGTGCTGATAACATAAAGTCTGGTGTTTCAAATCCATTCGTGGTTATTCAGTGGGGAAAGATAGGCAGTATGGTCTTCAGTTAAGACTTATAGTCTCAGAAACCTGATAAAGGATAAATAGAATTCAGATCTGCCTTAACGAAAGTGAGTATTTTTTAAACTAATAAAGCATTTTGAACTTTTTTCTTATTTAGCCTATATTCTCAATTCAGTAACCTTGAAATCACATAAATCACATTTGACAGGAGTTTTAGGCCTAAGAGGAGTGGTACTAAAATAAAATAAATAAATAAATTAAAAAAACACACAACCCCCCCCACCCAAAAACAAAACACCTTAAAAAATAATAGCTATCTGCTATATTTCTCTTGAATTTTTCCTAACAGAGCAAGAGAACTTTACATGGTTTAAAATTAAGAAGGGAGTGTGTCAGGATTGTATTCTCACTCCATACTCATTCAATCCTGTATGCTGAGCAAATTATTCAAGACCCTGGAGTCTATGAAGAGGAATGTGACACTAGGATTGAAGAAACTCCTCAATAACCTGTGTTATGAAAATAATACAACCCTGCTTGCTGAAAGTGAGGACTTGAAACACTCGTTGCAGAAGATCAAATAATACAACTGTCAATATAGAGTGCATCTCAATGTCACGATATAGATTGTATCTCAATGTCAAGGAAACAAATATTCTTATCACTAAACTGACAAGCAAAATCGTAGATGGAGAAAAGATTGAAACTGTCAACAACTTCATCTTACCTGGGTCTAAAATCAATACCCTTGGTACCAGCAGTCAGGAAATCAGGAGACCTTTTGCACTGGAAAAGTCTGAAATTACAAAGCACTCCAAATTACTGAGTAGTAACATGAGTTTGAGGACTAACGTGCATCTGACTCAGGCCATGCATGGTCTTTCCAATCACTTACTATGCATCTCAGAGCTGGAAAATGAATATAATGATGGAATAATGTCTTTTGAGCTGTGGTGTTGGAGAAGAGTACTGAACTTCCATGAACTCCCAAAAGAAGAAACAAATATGTCTTTGAGATGGTGTAGCTAGAATGCTCTTTGGAGGCAAAAATGATGAAACTTTGCCTCACATTCTTTGAGAATGTTGCTTGGAGGGACTATTTCTTGGATAAGAACTTGATGCTCAGATAGATAGAGGGTTGGCAAAGGAGAGGAAGACCCTCAACCAAGTGGATTAACACCATGACTGCCACAATGTGTCAGGCTCTGTGTCAGAAAGTGTGAGAATGGCACAGGAGAGAACAGGGTTCAGAGATATTGTTCCTACAGTCACTGGGTTGTACTTGATTTGATGGCACCTAACAGCAACAACATTATATTTCTCTTGTGCTTTACCATTTAAAGTATTTTTTATAAATATCATCTCTCAAAATTGAAAAATCTTTATGTCAGGAACAACTATTATTTAAAAATACAAACTGAAGCTCAAACTGTTCAACCAACTGTCTAAGGCTTGTTAGTGACAGATTTGGGGCTTAGTCTCAACTCTTCTATTTCTTCAAGAAATAGATTATTTTGTTTCCTCTATTTGATGTACAAAAACATAAATTATATAAATTCTTTCTCTAAAAGTTTGTGAAACCTTATCGATCTTTATCAATCTGGAGACATATGAAGAAAACTAGCTTTTTTGGTTAGTTTGTTTATTTGTTGTTTGTTTGTTTGAATATCCATTGTAGGATCATGGAAGGATTATTAGATAACAATTTGCACTTTGTCACAACATTGTGTCATTTCTTCATCTGCATAATGATTGAATTTGATTAGATCAGTGGTTACCAATTTAATATTGGAATTTATTATTCCGAAGCTTGATGAAAACCAAGCAGTCACATTTTTTTTAAAGTTCCTAGGATGGTTCCAATGACTATTCAGGTTTGGTAACTACTATAACTTTTTCCCCCAGATGAGATGTAAAGATACACTAATTGGGGCAATTAGGGGTTGGTGTGTTAAAATTAGTGAGACTGGCTCAGGACAGGGCAGTATTCAGAGCTGCTCTACATAAGGTCACTATGGGTTGCAAGTAACTCACTGGCACATAACAATAAAACAACAACAATAGCTTTTTTATATTTATAAGAGCTAACATTTACAATAGCTTATTTTCTCATTTATTCTCTTAACAATCCTGTCTCATAAATATTAACTCACTTTTCCTCAGATGAGAAATATAAAACACAGCATTTAAACAACTAGGCCAATTTTACAGTGTTAATTATTAATAATCCAATACAGAGACTCTTCTGGACCCATAACCAGGTTTTCAAAATTGCTATGATATGTGGCCACTGAACAAAGCTTTCACCCCAGGTCAACCTAAAACAAGTACCAAAAGAATTCTATCATTCGGTAAGTAAAATGTGACCACTGATTACAATGCAAAATGTAATAAAAGAGTTTAATCCTCCAGTTTTGAATACTTTAATGAGGAGGGGAAGTTGAGTAGCTCCTATGTCAGGAACAATATCCTAAGATTTTACTACGAGTAATGCACTGACTTTGGGTTTGCAGTGCAGTTCCCTACAAACCAAGCCACCAGTGCTCTTTCTGCTACAAGGATTCACTAGTGACCATCACTGCTAGTAGTCTGTGTTATTGAAGCCCTTGGAGTTGAAGAAAGGAAATATTATTGCTGTTATTCATATGGATGTCATGTTGTTGTTGTGTACCGTAGAGTTGGCTCTGACCCACAGCTGACCCTCCGGCAGGTTTTCAGAAATAGTTAATCACACAGGAGGAGATCGGCCATCCTTCTCCCATAGGACAGCTGGTGGCTTCAAATCAAAGTTTGGTAGCTGATGGTTTCAAACCACATGCCTTCAGGATTGCAACGCAACTTCTTGCCACTAGGCCACCAGAGCTCAGAATCCATCAAATTAATAATTTTTCTTGTCTTCACATGTGATAGTTCCAACAAAGTGCATTGTTCCTAGACTTTAAAATATTTTATTTCCTCCAAATCTTCTTTGATAATACTTAGGCCATGCATTTAGTTTTTCCCTGTCCTTTCTTTCAACCTGTATCTTGATTCTTATAAGAATGGCACCTTAACTTTGGAGATTGCTTCTCAACCTTACATTCCAAATTACTTCAACCCTCAAGAAAAATTTCTCACACTGAAATCCTCATCATTAATGTCAGGATGAATACATACCCTTATTTAAATGTGACTTATTTTCTACCTTTTTATTTAATTTGGTGTTACTATTTGGTTTATTCCACACTTCCCTTTATAATAAGGGAGTGCAGGCAGCAAGAACAGTGTCTTTACATCCTTCTGACTGGCAGAACCCTTGATAAGTCAGTGATTTGACTTGAGAGGGCCCAATCTGTAGTTAGGGACCTCCCCAGACTATTGAGGAGTAGTGATGTCATTTTGAAGACTAAGGTGTGTCCGATTCAAGCCATGTTCTTTCTGATTACTAGCTATGCATCCGAGAGCAAATGTCCTGATAGGATTTTCTGAGTTCTGGCTTTGGAAAATATCCTGCATAGGATTTTCTGGTTTCAGAAAATCTCCTGACATAGGATGTTCTGAGTTCTGGCTTTGGAAATACATAGGACTTTTGAGTTGATCTTCGACCTCCATTTTTATTTTTAGCCTAATAGTTAGGAGGAGTCATTTTTCAGAAAACAGCATTATGCTTGACAAGGAGGAGTATTAGAGAAAGAGAGGAAAATTGTCAACATAATGGATTGGTCAAGTGACTGTAACTATAGGCTAGAGGATATCAGAGACCATGAAGATAGTTTAGAATAGGACAAGGTGCAGATCTGTTGTCCATCCAGTCCTGTGAGTTGACCAAAAAGAACCAAAGAAAACAATTGCTGCAGTCACCGTGACAAGTCATCTTGTCTTCCTCCACCCTTCCCAACATGATGTCTTGTTGTTGCTAGGTGCCACTGAGTTGCATATTACCCAGAGGGACCCTAAGAACAATAGATCTGAACCCAGCCCTATCTTGTGCCATCCTTATCCTCCCAAACACACTTGATCCCATTGTTGCAGTCAGTGTATCAAACCATCTCACTGAGGATTTTCCTCTCTATTTTTGCTCACCTTTCCAAGCATCATGTCCTTCTCCAAGGGATCCTCTTAGTTATTGTTAATTAATGTATTTTTCACATTTTTTGTTGTTCTGAACTGAAAATGAGTACCAAGGAAACCTATTGTACTTTGGTTTTTGTTTTGACTTGTTGTTTATACAATCATTTACATTTATACAATCATTTATATACATTTTTTTCATTCATG